GACCACTGACCCCCGAACAAGACCTGGAATTTGATATGTAGAGGGTTTTGACTTTTCACATTTGAAAGGGTAAAACACATGAATTGCGGACAAGATCCATGTGAATTCTTACCGCTTGAATATTTCCTTTTTTAGGAATCCTGTAACCTTTGCGCATATGTTCCAGTGAGCAGAGACCCTGAAAAGGCGATGAGTACAGCTCATGCCGAGTACTAGTTCTCTAGTGGTGATTAACGACAAGTGACAAATGTACTCAACAGCTTTAAAAGAAACGCATTGTAAATAATGACCAGATATGGTAAAGGCGCTTCATCTTCAGGCATTTCGAAAAAGAATGTTGTAACTGGCAGTTTGATATGAGGTGAACAAGTAGCACCGCTGGCTGCTGAAAAAGGAATTGCTTCATTCACCATTAGGCTGTAAAAAAAAACTGCAGCAGCCACACTCGAATCGCAACGTACTGCACAAGCAGTCTTCTGCTCTGCGCGAAAACAGTGCAGCAAAGGGAAGAGGCTGGAAATTCCAAATTATTTTTCGTGCTTTTGATCGATAAAATTTTTTAATAAGTTTTCCAGTGGGTAATTAAAATTATGCAAGGGGTGAGACTGCTCACGGAGAAAACAAATATGCAAGACAGTTCGATTAGTTTCGACAAATTCAATTTCGCACAGTGCGCAACCGATAAAAAGCACTGGGTATTTTTACTGCGAAATGCCTTGTATTCTGAAGTACTAGCAATAGCGTGGCCATGATTTTCTGGATTGAAGCCAGAAATTTAGGAAGTTCGAAAACTTTCACAAAAACCCTGTAATCCAGACGACAAGAATTGTTTTTAAAGTAGCACACTACAATTCACATATGCTTTCTGATTCAAATACTGCTCGACTATTCCCCCTACCTTTTAATAACATGTCGAATATGTAATATTGTAAATCGAAAGTTTAAAATTTATAGACTTCATGCCACGAATACTGTGACCTGTTCCAGGCCTCTTTTAGTATTGAGTTTAAGAGCCATTTACAGACAGTTCTGATTGAG